TTAAACTCTTGCCACTGCACATGCTTCCTCGACACTTTTTTACAACTCATGGGCTTCACATGAATAAAAAGGGTAAAGCTAAAGTGGCGGAGATTGTGTTCAGCCTTATCTACAAAAAGAAGAGTATCTCAGATAAACCAAACAAACCTGTGAACTCCAGTAAAGCGCCTATGAGTCATAAAGGTGTATCTGTTCTGGAGGAAAATATGAGAGAGGTTATAAACAAGTTTAGAAATGACTCGTCAGTAGCACTGGCTCACACCATATCCGCTGACTTTGAAGATGAAAAGCACATGTCGGCAGGGGTAGCAGTGGTGTTCAGGAATAGTTTTGGTAGACCTCAAGCTTGCAACCTTATAAACAAGTATTTGGCATACCAAAAAATAGAAAACGGCCCTACAGTATATAGCCTCATTACAAAAGGTAAATATCATGGTAAGCCTTCCAAAAATCAATATGATGAAGCTTTCAGTCAGCTTGAGCAAGATTTTAAGTCCAAAGGTCTGAAAACACTAATTTGTTCAGCAATGGGGTGTGTGCGAGATCTGATTGAACCACAACACTTCGCACAAAACATCGTAAACTTTCATCGTTCAACAGGAGCATCAGTTTACATTATCTCCTACGGTCAAAAGGCACAGAGAGTCCTTTGGAGAGGTCTTACACACGAGGAATTTGTCAAGACCTTGAAACTACAAATCTCAACGAAGCTTCAAGAGACTCAACCTACAGCAAGTCTTCCTCAGATGACATCACCAAAAATACCTGTCACTACCGTGCAACAGATGCAGCAAGAGCTTCCCACTGAGCACCAACTGCGGCTGTCTTCTTCGTCGGACTCCTCTAATTGTCTTCCAAGACTCCAACAACTGCAATCCTCATCATATCCTACTGTTACACAACTACCACAACATCCATCTACTTCAATATATCCATCATACCTTACACAGATCCCTCCCTCAGAACTCTTTCAACAGTCATTATCCTCCAAAAGCCTGGCACACCATCCCACCGTAACGTCCACTCCGAATAGTACTGATTTCCACCAAGCACCTCAGCAACCTGAATGTACATTATTCCCACAGTCCTCTCCAATCATCCAAACACCCCACTCATCCAAAATACCCAACCAAGCCTCTTCCCCTAGTGAAGTGCATGAAAAAATGAAAAGTGTTAATTTGAGTGGTGATCCTAATATGAGCAGGGGTTTTTTAGATTAATGCAAGTCAATGTTCAATGTTTAAGAAACAAAGAGTTGTACCTTGAATCTGTTAGTGAAAAAAATAATATTAATTTAATTTGTGTTTCTGAGCACTGGCTTAAACAAGAACAAATTGATTTATATGTACCGAAAAATTTTATACCAGCTAATGTAATTTGTAGAGCTTCAAAAAATAATGGGGGGGTTGGAATTTATGTCAGGGATGATATAAAATTCTCTATTATAGATGTATCACGGTTTTACTCTGAAGTTGACTTTGAGCTTTGTTGTATTAAGTTAATAGATGAAAATATATTAATCTTAAGTATTTACAGATCTCCAAATGGGGACATCAATATATTTTTTGAACAGTTTGAAGAGGCAATCAGAAAGATATTAAAAAATAGATCCAAAATAATAGTGGCAGGGGATTTTAATATTGAAATGGCCAGGCCATCTGATAATGATTTAAAGTTTGTAAAATTCAGCAATATACTCAGATCTCTTAATCTTTTTATCACAAATTTTCAGCCTACTAGAGGTAATGCCTGTATAGATAATGTTATTGTTAACTTTAATGAAAACCTATATAGTGTGAAGTGTGATGAAAACTGTTTTGCAGATCACACTCCACTCTTATTTGAAATGGTTACTACATCAAATACAAGTAAAAATAGCCTTGATTACAAAGCCTCTAGTGTATTTATCAGGAAGCAAAATGACCAAAATTTAAACTTATTTATTTCTTACTTAAGAGAGGAAAGGTGGGAAATGATTGATGATTATGAACATAACAAAATTAGTGTTGAACATTTGTTTGATAGTTTTTTTAAAAGATATGTGAATTTATGGCACAATTGTTCCCCATTGGTCAAAGTAACGGACAGGCAACCTAAAAATAATAAAAATAATAAGCTTATAAAATGGTATACTCCTGAGCTTAGTATAATTAAGAATGATATGCTCAAGTACTTTACTGTCTATAAAAACTTAAGATCTACAGGTTCTGAGCTAACTCAGGCAGCTTATAATGTTTATATGAACCATAAAAGATTCTATAGAAATAAAATGACTCTTGCCAAAAAGAACGCGGTTGAGCACTTCATCAGTAATGCCTCCAACCCATGTCGTGCTGCCTGGGCGGTAATTAAAGATGAGCATTCACCAACTCATAGTCAAGATGCCATACTTGACCCAGATGAAATGAATTCATATTTTTTAGATTCAATAAAAGAATTAAGTAAAGTAATACCACAAAGCCCTTACAAAGCAGAAGATTTTTTAGGAAACAACTCAACAAATACAACATTTTCTTGGTCAGAGGTCTCATCATCGGATATAATTAAAGTTGTTGCTAAATTAACAAATTCTAAATCAATGGATTATTATTGGATTTCTAATAATATTTTGAAAAAGACTATAGATTTTATTAGCTACCCTCTTGCTTTTATATTGAATACCTGTATGAGGGAGGGATATTTTTCTCCATCCCTCAAAATATCGAAAGTAATCCCAATATTCAAAAAAGGTGATAAAAAAATGGTTCAAAATTATCGGCCTATTTCACTTGTTCCTATTTTTTCCAAAATATTTGAAGCAGTAATGTATAATCAATTAAATAATTACTTTGAAACAAATAACCTATTGTCAAACTCCCAATTCGGCTTTCGTCGAGGTAAATCCACAACCTCAGCAATTCTCACTTTAGTTGACCATTCTCTCGAAACTTTAGAAAAGAAGGAATCTGTGTCATTAGTTTTATGTGATTTAAGTAAAGCTTTTGACACGGTTCCTTTTGATATCCTAATTAACAAACTACGTTTTTATGGCATCACTAATGATGCCATGCTTCTTATTTCTTCGTATTTATGTAATAGACTTCAATTGGTATCAATTAAAAATAAATGTTCTAAAACTGAAAAAGTTGAAACCGGTGTTCCTCAGGGCTCTGTACTAGGGCCATTTTTCTTTAACGTCTACATTAATGATCTTCCTATAAATATAAATACACAATCTGTTATATATGCGGATGATACAACTTTACTCGCTAACCATTCTAATTTAACAACCCTGCGCTTAATTAGTCAAGAGGCTGAACATAGAGCATATGATTGGTTTTCTGCAAACAGACTATCTTGTAATTCTGACAAATCACAATATATAACAATCAGTCTTAAAACAGAGGTAAAATTTGAATCAGTTAAACTTTTAGGATTTAATTTGGATTCAAAATTAAATTGGTCATCACACATAAAATCTGTTTGTAACAAAATTTCAAGAGTGAGGTGCTTGCTGTGGAAACTTAAGGATTTTGTTAGTCAAGAATATTTAAGATTGGCGTATTTTGGACTCTTTCAATCGCACATACTATATGGTCTTATTTTGTGGGGCCACTCTCCACATATTAACGACATCCTTTTACTCCAGAAAAAGGCGGTTCGAAGCATTGCTGGAGAATGCTCAGATACACATTGTAAACCTCTTTTCATTAATTTCAGGATACCAACCATAGTAAATCTTTATATATTCCAAATTCTAATATATACAAAGTCAAACTTAGATCAATTCTCTTTCCGAAAAGACGTACACAATCACTATACAAGAGGTAGGGATAAAATAGATATATTGCAGCACAGATTGGCAAAAACCAAACATTCACATAAATTAAATTGTATAATGTTTTTTAATAAGCTGCCTGAAGAAGCAAAATTAGTTTCTTACAGTATTTTTAAAAATAAACTGTATGACTGGATTGTTAAAAATCCCTTTTACAAAATTGATGATTTTTTAAGTTGTGAAATAAATATTAGATTTTGAAGATTAAGTTGAAATAAAGATTTTATTTTCATGTAAGTGGCTATTTAAATTTAGATATTTTGTACTGTAAACACTGAATCACCTTGTAACTATGTATAACAATGACGTGTCCTATTTCTTTTATAAAGATCAATGGAAATAAATATTTCTTATTCTTATTCTTATTCTTATTCTTAGCGGTGTTGAATAATAAGATCATGTCAATTCCACTCCCTCCTCTGCATAATGCTCCACAATAGATCTGGTGTTTGTCTTGTTCACCTACCTCCCCCCTCCCACTACTGAATCTTTGTTTATTTTAGATGACTTGCTTATTTTTCATGCTGCTAGAGAAATATCAAAATAACACCTAATTTTTGTATAAAAAGAGTAATTTGTGTTTTAACAGGTTTTTGAGTACATAAGACGATAAAACAAAATATTTTTTTGTTCATTTGTTTGAAATTAGTCAAAATTGGGTATGATTCAGGGCATTTCTTTAGACACTCGAAACAAAACCTACGTACATTATTAACATTTAAAATATTTGTCTTTTTTAACTGCTCTATATGTGTCCAGCAAACACAATTTAAACTTGAAATCTCCAAAATGTTCAAATTTTGGAAAGCCTTAATTTTGGAAATTAGAAAATATATTTTGTGTACTTTTACGCCATTGAAATCTTTCATATTTTTTTGTAGATAAATGGTCCAGGACCTGGACTAGTTACTCTACTATCTAGCATAGACCTTAAGCTAGATATCATTATTGTGGAACAGCCCAATACTGTAATGAAAATTGCATCTATTTCTGGAATTGATTTCACATTAAATTTAAGCAGCCACCATAGATTCAATGGCGAGCACTATAACCATTTGTACCATTATTCATGAATCTGATAAGGCTTGAACATTATACATATTGGAACTTTGTAAATTCTTAAATTTTTGAAAATTTGTAATCTTAGGAATTTTTTTAATTTAAGATAAATGTCTCATTACAGGCGTGGCTCGTGGAGACCTATAGGACACATGAGACCGTCCAGTCCTCTCTTGGATTCCGTGAGAGATAGATTCGAGGAGTACGACCAACTAGCAAAAGACTTTGCCAAAGTGTTCTCACAAGATGATGCAAACATTGCCATCAATGCTCACCTCTTTGATGTAATCTTCCTGGTTGGTCAATCCAAACAGAAAAGTAAACTGATTGGAGTACGAGCAATTCTTGGAGTTCGAAGCAGGTAATGTATAGTACTTCTAATTTAAAAACCTTTAAGCAGAAATTTTTATTGATTGTTAGAATTAGGTATTTTATATTGAATATTAGCTTACTATAGAAAAGAGCAAAGACTTTTATAGTCATTATGGTGGGACTGATACTAAGACTTTATGAATTCATTCAAGAGAATTATATTTTTGATTGCCATTGGTCCTGTTTAATGTGTAATATTAAGAATTATATGATTAAAAAAGAGATGCTGTATACCTAGTATTTATATGGGGTTCCACTTCCCACAAGTTTCTTATGTAATATACAAGTGTACAATTGTAATATTCTATAGGGTTTTTCTAGAATTTCAAGAGATGCTGTATGGTATTCTTACGAGGTCAGGCTCTAAGTTTCTCATGTTATATATTGCAATATTCTACAGGGGTTTTCAAGAGTTGATGTATGGTATTTCTATGGGGTTTGGCTCTAAGTTTCTTATGTTGTACTTTATTGCAATATTCTAAAGGGGGTTTTAAGAGGTGATGTATGGTATTTCTTTGGGGTTTGGCTCTAAGTTTCTTATGTTATATATTTCAATATTCTAAAGGGGGTTTTCAAGAGATGATGTATGGTATTTCAATGGGGTTTGGCTCTAAGTTTCTTTTGTTGTACTTTATTGCAATATTCTAAAGGGTTTTTCAAGAGAAGATGACCTATGGTATTACTACGGGGTTCGGTCGGCTCTAAGTTTCTTATGTTCTGCAATGTTATACAGGGTTTTTCAAGAGATGCTGTATAGTATTTCTATGGGGTTTGGGTCTAAGTTTCTTATGTTACAATGTTATACAGGGTTTTTCAAGAGATGCTGTATGGTATTTCGACGGGGTTCGGCTCCCCACAAGTGCCTGTCGCAGAGCTCCTAGCTAGAGCTGTGCCTAGTCTGCCGAGCCCTCAGAAGCCAAAGAGCAGCAATTTCCTGCAAGTTCCTGATATCGAAAGTCCAAGGTAAAAAAGGAACTAGGTGTAAACATACTTTAACTTTGTGTATCATCACAGTGTTCTCTTAATTGTAAGTAACTTGATTACTTCAAATAAAATCTATGATTTAAAGTTTATAAAATAGATTAAATGTTCTAAAACTGAACCGCTATAGTTATACTAAAATGGAAATTGTATCTGAAAGAAGCTATGTAGAAAATGTGTGATATTAAGGTGAGTATAAATTTAATTCCAAACTGGAATGTGTTAACATTGAGATTGGGTGATGGATGTTTATTCAAGCTGTAGTGATCAATCATTCTGCAGCTGTCAGTCGATCTTACAATCACCTATCAGGACTATGCAGATTGCACCTTAATAATGCACTGTTCTAGAAGAAGTCACAAATTAAAAGTGTTTATAGGTACAATCTACAGTCTATAAGAACCTAAACAGACCTTTAAGCAAAAATTTAAACTATTTGAACGCTTGAATAATTATAAGAATTATATCCTCTATTATATAATTTTTAAGAGGAATTGCTTATTTTAAGTCTCGTTTATACTGGATTTGAAAACTGTAATATAACATGTCATTCATTCATCATTAACATTAATTTCTCTTTTATTTTGTATATTTTCTCTCATGTCTGTTAATGCCCCTGATAATGTGTTATCAGTTATTTAATTTGTTCCTCTTGTTAATGTGTTAAGTATTTTATCCAATTTTGTTCAATGTTATATAATATCCCATCACCCCACAGAAACAGCATCCTATTTTATGTTACAATATAATATTTATGCAAATTCTCTCCATACCTATCCTGTACTCATCAAAAACCAACAATAATCATTTATTTAGAATAATATAGAATTGTAAGAAAATTGCAATATAATAATAACATCTTAAATATAGTATCATTTTTCAAAATTATCCAAAGAAAATCAAAATTACTGTGGCAAGTGTCATTCATGTAAATTAACCAGCTGTACATCACTTCAACAATGGACATGGACTTCCTGAGCTTCTACCATTGCCTCTCCCCAGATCCTGCCAACTATTCACAGTGTGAACATCATTCTATTGGAAATTGTGTTTAATTTAAACTTAAATTCATAATCCCAAAGTATAACCTAAATTTTAAATTTCTTATCATCCAAAAGTATTGGACAAGTGCATTGAAGAGTACCAATTTATAAGAAGACAGACACTCCAAATTTGGTAACCATCATCCATCTTACTTAACTAAGGACAAATTTAATCTTCATTGGACATTTAATCAGCATAGCCTACTAGGCCCAATTAACTCAACTCATCAAGATATATACATATTTCAAATTGAACTTTTATTCAAAATTTAATCTTCAAATTCTATTTTATTTCATTAAATTCAGTGAAACCATTTGGAATCTTTCTTTGGACATTAACATTATTATATTAATAGCATCATGAACCTAGCTTAACTTATTTCAGAACAATAACTAAATTAAATTATTTGCATTTTCAAGAAGCCTAATATATCATTCGAACCGGCACGACCACCCCTCCCTGAGATTAAGAGCTCATATTCAAATAGTAATTAGTACTGTACTTTAGAAGAAACCAACCCAATAAGCCTAGAATAATATCATCCACTTTGGAAACCCCACCATTTTGAAAATTTACCATTTTTAACTTACCCTGTAGCTAATTCAACCAACAACTTATCTAATATTTGTATTTCATTAATAAATTTATATTGTAACTTATCAAATCTATTTATTCTTAAAATAATTCATTGTAATTATAAGATTAAGACAAAGACTTACCTCATTAGACAAAAATAAAACACAAATTAGGAATTATCTTTATTAAGAAAGAAATGACTTCAAGTTCAATGTGGGCTAACTTAATAGCCAAAGGAATTTTGTAGGCCTAAGTTTATGAAAGTCTATAGAAAGCTTTATGGTGTGTAGCAAATTTGGCGCCCAACGTGTCGGCTTTCGAATGATATATTACGGTAGTCATAAAATATTGCAATTTTCGATTTAGGCTCAGTTAACCTTAAGTTGTACTAGATTGTAAGAACCCATAGCCTATTGTACGTCCCGTAATTAATATTCCCAACCCCAATAACAACACAAAGCCGTTATACAAAACACTAACTAATCACGCACAATTCGCATAATTAGTACAATAATTAATCATGGCCGAGAAAGGTTATAATTTAAGACCCAACCGTAAAAATTCTAACCTAAACCCAAATTACGACTACAACAACACTGACAGCGAGAGCGAAATTGAAGAAGAAGGTCGCCATCTTGATGACATCACACGCACGGACACAGAACAAAAAACACATCCACAGCAGACATCAGAACTCACAGAGGAAGAAAGCAACGAGTCCATGGACCAATCAGACAATAGTATTCCCATTCCTACAAGTCTGTTTGCAAATGTTGCCACTGAACTGTCCAGTAAACAAAGTCTGAATGTTTCCAAAATGCCAGGTGATAGCCAAGGTCACATTAGCGGATCAATAACTCAGACACCCGCACCCGAACACAGCCGATCGTTACCGAATATAGCCGACGACGAACGTAACCTAGACCTAACAACACGGCAACGGAACAACCCTAGTGCAACTGTCGGTGCAACAGCAACTGTCACATCAACACTAATTGCACCATCAGATATTAATACTTTAATTGCCCTCATGACTAAACTAGACACTAAATTGAGCAACAAAATTGACGAATCTCATGCTAAAATTGACAGCAAAATTAACGAATCCCATGCTAAAATTGACAGCAAAATTAACGAATCCCATGCCGAAATTAACAGTAAAATCAACAGCAAACTCAATGAATTAAAAGTTGAACTCACTCAAAGCTTCAATGATAAAATTGATGCTAATAGCCTAGAAATTCAAGCTTGCAGAAACGCGCTAGAAACTCAAATTTCAGAAAATCGTGAAAGTCAAAATAAATTCCAGATCGAAATAAACTCAATTAAGATCACTCAGACAACACAAGCTGAGGAAATCATTAAACTTAATGAAAAACTCACACAAAAAATTGATGAATCACAAGATCAAATGAGACAATTCGTCATTGATAATCTTACACAACAACAATCAATATCTGATAATAAAAATCAACAGAGACAAAATGACATCCTATCTGCTGTCAAAACACAATTGGTAATGCATGAACAGAATTTTGACCAAAAAGTTGAAGAACTTTCTCAACGAACCAGGCAAGAATCCGAACAGAATTCTAAAGCTAATTTGGCCATCATACAAAACGAAATTCTTCCAAAACTCACCATCCAAAACAAAACTTTAGAATCTCAGCAAGCTAAAATCCAAAGTTTAAATCAAAATCTGACTAAATGTGAACAAGAAGTGGAAACCCTCAAACAAAGCAAAACATTTGAAAACTTCCAAGGCCCAATCAAAATTATATGCAATGGAAATGAAGAGAAAGACCGACAAATACCAAAATTCAACGGCCGAAGTGGCAACCCAAAAGAATATCTTAATAAATTGAAAAGATATTACGACAGAGGACTTGAGCGAAACAGTAATAATGACCCGATTGAATATCTCAAAGACCTGCTAGAAACTTCATTCGAAGGTCCCGCCTCAAGATGGCTACAACTTGTAAAGACTGACTTAAGTTCCTGGGAACAATTTTCCAACGAATTCGAAGCTAAATACTGGTCAAGAGAAGTACAACGCAGCTTAAGAGCCAAAATCGAATCAGAAAAATACCGGTCAAATGGTACCCTCAGCCGCAGCGAATACCTTACAGAACGTGTAATTTCACTCCAATCTATGAGCCCTTGCCTAACCGAAGAAGAAATCGTGACACTGATGGCAGAGAGATTTGACTCCATCGTACAAGACTGCATCAATGTACAGAACATCACCACCGTACGTGCATTAGAAAGACTTCTACAGCGTGAAGACCTCAAAGACGGACCAAAGAAGACACTCACCAACAACCAGAATCACAACAGCTCATCCAACAACCGACCGACAACTCCAAATCAACAACCACACATTTATCATCAAAATGGCCGCTACGAAAATCAGAGAGCGTACCAACCCAAGATACCTTCATATCACAACAATTCATACAACAACAATCACCAACACAGAAGTTATCCAAACCATCAAAATTACCGTCCTAACCACAATCATCCTACTTACGACCGAAACCATGAAAACAAACCATATCAACGAGACAAATATCCTCCTCGTAACGGTGACAACAACCAACGGACCTACAGAAACCACCCAACCCAAGAACAAGCTCAGCTTTGCGCAGTAATGAGACAAAATAACTACGTGCCAAGTGCTCCTCCAAACAACCAATAATCACACAGTTACGAGCCCCAGACTCATCCTGCACCAAATATACAGGAAAACGGTTCGGCGCTGTAAGCGACAACCGAGAGGGTCAATTATCATTAGTTAACTCTAAAATTACAGCGCCTATTTATGAAAGTCTCGGTAATGAAATAAATCATCTTCAATCCCAAAGTATAATGTGCGATAAGAACTTCTTATTAGAAAATTATTCAGAAAATAATCAATCTCCAAATTTCACTCAAATAAGTTGCCCAGAAATTAGCATCAAACTTAATAATATTAGAGTAAACGCATTAGTCGACACTGGTTCATCAATAACTTGTATATCAGAATCCTGGTTCAGTGAAAACAAATCCAAAATTTCACCATTTGAAGAATTTCCAGTTAATAACACAGTAATCAAAACTGCTACAAATGAGCGATCTAAACGAGTCTCTCGAATTATTTACGTTCCCACCACAATTGCAGAACACACCTTGCTATTGGAATATCTTATTGTACCAAATCTAATAAAACCTATAATATTAGGAGTAGATGTTTTGTCTAATCTTAAAATGGATCTGAATTTCAACACAAATGAAATAGATATGCAGATAAATAATCACAATGTTACTTTGAAGTTTTGTATGTGCAACCAAGAGGGACAAATATGTCACTTAATAATTAATGATAGCCATAGGCCAAATAATGAATATTTTAATGATGAAACGTTTGATGTATATCACGATGATCCAATATATAATAAATTAAATAGCACAATAAATAACTTCAAAAATAGAAAAACAGATCCAATCGAAGATGAAACATTAACCCAAGAAGAAATAGATAATTCCCTAGCAACAAATAGGCACATAACCGCAGAAGAACGTGAAACATTAAGCAGTTTATTAAATAAATACCAGCTAAAGAAGATGAAGATGTTTTATACGGCCCCTACCATATATAAGCCCTCAAGAAATATTTGTAACCAACCCGAGCAATAGAAGCTGTGATCGACGAGATAGATAATGATGACCCTACCTTCGAAGATATTGTATATCAATAAATTTCATAATGTATTTCATCCATCAATAGACTTTTGTGCATCATCATCTCATCAAATTGTGCCATGGACCTTAATCGCGAGTGCGTGACCCCATAAATTGTGTTTTCCATAAACTAATACCCAGGTGATAAAGTTTATAGACAATACTCACTTACAAATAAACTGTGATCTCCTTAATAACAAAGAAACAATAAAGTTATTTGATATTGAACAACATGGAACAACAGCCATAATATCCCTTTCTCCCCAAGCCAGGCCATGAACACTCTATTCTATTTTCCCATTTTAATGTTATTGTCCTACACATTTGTTAACTTAGTTTATAATTTTGTTGTATTATCACCCAATGTTCTATCATCCAGAAAATCAATCATTTAATGTTATTCATACCTATCTGTAAGTATCATTCATATTAATGATTCATGATTCCATTTCATATTTTGTCGAAATCTTTATTTCATTTCATAGCATACAGATTTCTGTGGGGATAATTTGTAATATAACATGTCATTCATTCATCATTAACATTAATTTCTCTTTTATTTTGTATATTTTCTCTCATGTCTGTTAATGCCCCTGATAATGTGTTATCAGTTATTTAATTTGTTCCTCTTGTTAATGTGTTAAGTATTTTATCCAATTTTGTTCAATGTTATATAATATCCCATCACCCCACAGAAACATCATCCTATTTTATGTTACAATATAATATTTATGCAAATTCTCTCCATACCTATCCTGTACTCATCAAAAACCAACAATAATCATTTATTTAGAATAATATAGAATTGTAAGAAAATTGCAATATAATAATAACATCTTAAATATAGTATCATTTTTCAAAATTATCCAAAGAAAATCAAAATTACTGTGGCAAGTGTCATTCATGTAAATTAACCAGCTGTACATCACTTCAACAATGGACATGGACTTCCTGAGCTTCTACCATTGCCTCTCCCCAGATCCTGCCAACTATTCACAGTGTGAACATCATTCTATTGGAAATTGTGTTTAATTTAAACTTAAATTCATAATCCCAAAGTATAACCTAAATTTTAAATTTCTTATCATCCAAAAGTATTGGACAAGTGCATTGAAGAGTACCAATTTATAAGAAGACAGACACTCCAAATTTGGTAACCATCATCCATCTTACTTAACTAAGGACAAATTTAATCTTCATTGGACATTTAATCAGCATAGCCTACTAGGCCCAATTAACTCAACTCATCAAGATATATACATATTTCAAATTGAACTTTTATTCAAAATTTAATCTTCAAATTCTATTTTATTTCATTAAATTCAGTGAAACCATTTGGAATCTTTCTTTGGACATTAACATTATTATATTAATAGCATCATGAACCTAGCTTAACTTATTTCAGAACAATAACTAAATTAAATTATTTGCATTTTCAAGAAGCCTAATATATCATTCGAACCGGCACGACCACCCCTCCCTGAGATTAAGAGCTCATATTCAAATAGTAATTAGTACTGTACTTTAGAAGAAACCAACCCAATAAGCCTAGAATAATATCATCCACTTTGGAAACCCCACCATTTTGAAAATTTACCATTGTTAACTTACCCTGTAGCTAATTCAACCAACAACTTATCTAATATTTGTATTTCATTAATAAATTTATATTGTAACTTATCAAATCTATTTATTCTTAAAATAATTCATTGTAATTATAAGATTAAGACAAAGACTTACCTCATTAGACAAAAATAAAACACAAATTAGGAATTATCTTTATTAAGAAAGAAATGACTTCAAAGTTCAATGTGGGCTAACTTAATAGCCAAAGGAATTTTGTAGGCCTAAGTTTATGAAAGTCTATAGAAAGCTTTATGGTGTTTAGCAAAACATCTAAAGTTTCTAAAAGATTTTCAGTGATAGCAATATAAATTTTGTTTTCAAAAATATGTTTTTTTTAGCTTAAAAGAACATAACTAATACCATTCAGGATAAAAATAACATCATGACTTCACTGACCACACTTGTTATAAGCTGTGTTCACAAAATATTTTTTAAACCCTCGGTGTGAACGTGGATTTATCTCTTCCTCTGTATTGCATACACAAAATATTACTATGTAAGAACTAACTACTAAGAACTATACTAAGAACAATATATTGAAGGACTCTTTCCTGCAACAACTGGTTTAATTTCATGTTTTGGTTCATTCTTTTAGCTTTGGATTAAAATATGTACCTACGGGGTGTCCCCATGTCAATGATTGATAATTTAATTAACTGATGATTGATAATTGACATGACAGAAGATGTTTGTGAATTTGGATACAAGTACAGTATTTTGGACCAAGATCAAAGATTTACCAAAAACTGTTGGACGCTCGTTGCAGTAACAATAAAGTTTTAATGTTACACATTTGATTTACAAACAGATTTTGATTGTTTTACTTACAGGCCTAAAAGTGTGCCAAGTTCTCCTATGGTGAAGAGAGCCTTCTCGAGGTTAGGAACGCTGACAGCTGGATGGGGCAGATCCATAAGGAAGCAACACACGCAACTGTCAGCCGAGGACAAGAAGAAATGGGCCTCTTCTCAAGACTGTTCAAGTTAGTTGCAGATTTGTTCAGATAGCTGTGTAAATCCAATTTACAAAATGTAGATGGTCTCTCCAAAAATAATTTAGAATATCGTAGTTGTATATTCCTTTGAGATGTTGAAAATATTTAATACTTTCTCTCATTTATTTCTTAGTATAGGCCTAGATATAAATTTAAAGGCTGAAATCTTTGTTGGTACCTAATTTTCCAAAAATATTCAAGTTTATTCCGGTTTTAATATTTTAAAAGTTAAAATAGACACAAAAGAAAATGTATTAATAGTTGGTATTAAAAGACTCCTTACGTAGGTGCTAAGGTTAATCGAACTATTAACTCTTTACAGCTGGCCAATATATGATGAGTATTTTCTCAATTTTAAAAATCTCCATGTCTGTACCATATGATAGGTGCAAAGTTTAATCTGCAACATTTCCTTTTCGAACATACAGTCCTCAGTTGAAGGTCAGGATTTTCCAAGTTTTGAGAACTTATAGTAGTATTTTATTAGTCCCCTTTAGTTTGCTGTGGTTTCTGAGGATATTCAGTCATCTTTCTAGTACAATCACAGTAATAATTATGTTATACCTTTATGCATTAGCATAATTATATTTACTCGTCTTGTAAAGATTTGTTTATTAAAATTAGTTTTAAGAAGAGGTATAGTTACAGACCACACAAGTCGCTGTGGTGTAAGGTACAATATCTTCAAAATCAAAGGAAAAATAAAGGGTAAAAAATATTATTGTCATGGAGTATGCTTTATCAAAGAACTTTTAAATCAAGCTGATTTTTTTTTAGATAAAGATGGCAAAGACAAGGACAAAGACAAGCCAGGGGCGTCTCAGTTAGCAGTGCCTAGGCTCAGTGTGTGTGCGGATGTGCAGAAGGTGGACAGGGCCAAACTAGCTCAAGTAGAGGTAAGTGTGGGGATTGGAAGGAGGAGGGGCTGGTTATGTTACGAGCTAGTACAGAACAAGTTTTGAAATTGTAAAACAAAGAATTTTTAAAACCATCTCATTGGTTAGGGATATGATAATGGTTAATCTGGATCAATAAAATATCAGCACATTTAGTCGGCTATACTTTAAGAAGAAATTTCTTTTTATATTAAAATATAAAATTTGTTTTGCCCAAAGAATCACCTTACTTTACTTAAACCCATTTACCCTAACCTTCCACATATAAGACCTCGATTCCACCTACTGAGTAGTAAATCTTTCCCTTTCCAAGTTTAATCTTTCTAGTTTATCTTCACCGTCAGTTCCTCTGTCAGTAAATTTCTTAATGATGAGCCAAAAATATGATTGTTTTCACAAAAATATCACTAGAACATCCATAGGTACTACAAAAGAGAATTGTTTTCATCTAGTTGTGTTGTTTTTCAGTTTACTATCATAGAGTTTGACCCAGATACCTTCCGGATATTGCTGGACTACCTACACACCAGCTCTTGTCCACTGACATGTACCAACATTCCTGGGCTGATATGTGCGGCAGAGCATTACGATCTGCCAGAACTGCTACAGGCTTGCTTCCATCACGCCAAGCAGTTCTTGCGGATAGAAGTGGTACGTTGGTCCGCAAGTCGGTCTAAGTAATGAACTTTGTCTAGGTGAAGTTCTGTAGCCTCTCCATCTAAAGAATATATTTCTAGAAATTTAGACTCTATTTTGAAATTGTTATAAATCAAGTTTTAGAGTATTCAAGAGTTTGAGTTTGAATGTTTTTTCATCAAAGTTCTTGAAAGGCCTGGTTGTAGTACCTCAATTTGGATAAATCAAACACTGCCCATTGGGGGTAGGCCTACAGTTACAGAAAATAATAATGTTAGATTTGATTAAATTTAAAAACAATGTCAATAACACATCAGGATTTCAATTTTGAGGTGAAGATGCGTGAAGGATGAAATAAATATGTGAAACAATACTCATGCTTACTACGTTGAAGCCGTTATGATGAAAATGTTCATCTTGGTCAAGATAAACAAATTATATTGCCCTTTTAAAAAAACTTTAAATAAAAAGAACAAAAAATTGACTTGGTAAAAAAGTTTTGTGTACTCGACAGAATTTAGTAATTTAGATCAGCGCAATTTGTAGGTGGCTTACATCAACTACGACAATTTTGATAAAAAAAACCTGGCTACAAATTTAACATGGGGATGGAATGTCTAGTTGTATTAAATATTCAAATATATTAGGTACCACAGAGAAGTAAGAAACAGAGGAAACATTCAATGGTATACATACTTAAATGGTGTCTATTACTATTGTTGGTGTCTAGGGCAGAATCCTCCTCACCATCATGTAATACGACGTTCATGGTGGAGGAAGGCCCTGAGCCCAGTGCGAAAGAATTTCTGCACAGTGCTCACTGTTCAGACTATTTATTGCTCATTATTATGTACATTTCCGCCACAAAATACCAGAGCTGAAATACTCGTAAATAAATAAATAAATAAAAAGGCCTTTATTTGCAAGCGAGTTTCATGTACATGTTTTTCAAACTTACGCAAGTCAAACTAAAACTAAACTAACCTAATATATACAGAAATATAATATACAAAATAACTACAAAGAAAAAAACATTTACAATTTACAAGTGTTTTTCTGCATTGCGGCCCTGAATGAACCATATGATTTCGAGCTCTTTATGTCCTGAGGGAGGCTATTATACAACTGCAGGCCAAAATAAGAAAATGACTTTCTTCCAACCTCAAGCCTCACTTTAGGAAAGTGAAGCCTGCGGTCGGAACGAGTACCCCGCAGGCAGATCTCCCCCCTGTACTTAAGCCTCTCGCTGAGGTACCGAGGCTCTCCCAGCGTGAGCACTTTAGTGGACCAGGCAGCAGGTCAGCCTTCGGCACATGTCATCCATTGGGATGAGCTTTGCAGCATCTCGGAGGGAGGATACGTGGTCAAAGCGGTTAAGGCCAAAAATGAACCTTAAAGCCGAATTTTGAATTCTTTGAACTCTTGCCATATCCTCCTTAGAGATGCTGTTTCCATATGCAGGAGAGCAATATGTAAAGGCTGGGAGGACCAAGGACCGCATGAGTTGCATTTTGGCATATTCCGGCAGTAGAGTTTTAAATCTGCTAAGACCTCTCAGTCTACCCACTGCGCGTTGAATTGCAGATGTGACATGGTCAGAAAAAGAGAGGTCTTTGTCAAGTACAACACCAAGCGTATTGACAGTGTCGCAAATAGACAATCTCATACCATCAAGGGTGACTTCTATAGCAGATTTACTCAATTCCTGCATCATAATGTTTGGTCCAGTATGCATGACTACACACTTGTCAACATTCAATCCAAGGCCATTCATGACAGACCATTGAAAAATGCTGTGCAAATCAGCATTGATGAGCCGGATTGCTTCTGATGTCTTGTCTGGCTTGTATGACAAGTGTAGTTGGCAGTCATCAGCATACAAGTGTGCTGTACAATATTCTACACTTCTGGACAAGTCAGACGTGTACAAATTGAACAGCACAGGTCCTAAACAACTACCTTGAGGAACACCACGCACTTTGCAAAGCGGATCTGATGTCTCACTCCCAATTTTGGTAACCTGCAGTAGGGACTCCAAATAGGACCAAAACCAACAAACAACTTTTTCACTGCAGCCATAGCACATCATTTTGGCCAATAACAATTCATGATCAATAGAGTCAAATGCTTGGGAATAATCTAGAATAGCTAATGTGCTGTATTTTTGAAAGCGCACAGTTGTGCCATAACCTTGATCCCGCAGAACCTTCAAATCAAATCATTTATTGCCGTAAAACATACAAAACATTGTATGGCATCGTCATATTTTACAATAAATTTCTATTTAGGCCTACAAAACTGGACACCTTAAATAAGTGATAAATTCGTCAACATCATACACACTTAATTATATCAAAAGAGATTTCAAATGCACTTTGAATTTTTTATCATCTAAGCATTTTACATTATGTGGCAGCAAATTAAAGATTTTCTTACCTAATTCAAAAGTAGATTTAATGGTAGTCTGATAATTACATTGGTGAATTCTGATAAAATGGCTCTGTCTGGTAAAATATGAATGTACTGAATTGTAGGAATATTATTAAGATTTTCTTTAATGTACAACAAAGAATCCAGTAAATATAATGAAGGTACAGTTAGCACACCAAGTTTTCTAATCAAAGGTTTACAGTGACAAAGGGTTACAGTTCTTTTTACTTTACAAATGATTCTTAAAGTTTTCTTCTGCAAAATCAGTAATTTTTCAACGCTGCTGTCACATCCCCACACTACAATTCCATACGATAGGTGACTCTGAATGTGAGCAAAGTATATTGACATCAGACATCTCTGTGTGTATGTACATTATTTTTAAGAGTACAATATGTGCTTATTTTCTGATAACTATTGTTTCTGCAACAGGTTTGCTCAATGCTGTGTTCGCTGGAGAACTATTACTGGAGATACACGTCGGCCTCGGAGCTGGTCAACATGATCCTAGCCTTTGTAGAGACCCGAGCCCACCAGGTAAATATCCACCCCAACGACCCCAATTAAACTTCAAAGACAATACATTATTGGTTCATTACTTGCATTCATAAATAAACAAAGGTCAAAATATATTGTTCTCAAGCCCTCATAGAAGCAGGTTAGTGATAAGAAAATTCAGTCTTTTGCACAGCCCAAAAATACCTTATCTTCTTCTGGCTGGACCTTATTTCTATAAAATTACTTCACACCCCCCAAACCTAGGTAAGAAGTCGTGTATGCTCCCTCCTCCCCCCCCCACCTAAAAACCATGTAAGCACTCTTGGTGTCATTGTTCATTTAGAAGCTGTTACTGCCGCATTTAATTTGAATTCCTTTACACTGATTATTAACTCAAAAAAAAAATGTATTTATTAAACTCATACAGTACAACCACAATTTTGTAAAATATAAAAAGGAAAATTGATAATCATAGTTCAATAGTTTATGTCTCATTCATGACACAGTATGTTTTTTAATCTACTTAGAAAAGCTAAAAACCTTTTACTTAGTAATCCTGTACAATATTTTAAAAGTTATTTCCACAGCTGTTCCAGATGACGGACTTTGTGAACTTGTCCGAGTCCATGGTTCAGATGATTATGTGTCGTAACTTGGAGATCCCTGAGGTTAGGAAGTTTGAGGCGATGTTGGCGTGGGCCAAACACAAGATCCGGACAAAGTCTTCAACAAAGATGGATGCCAAACTGGAGTTTAAAGTCACCATGGATAGGCTATCAAGAGATCTCAAACTGTATAGGATATCACCACAGGAATTGATAAAGGTATGAACATTTCCATTATTATTGGAAATGTGAGTATCATCATTGACTTTTTGATACTGGAGAATACTTCCATACAACCTTAGATAAAACGTACTCCCCTAGTAGATTTCTCATAATTATGGAACAGTGGTTAGTCTATGATACAACCCATCCACACTACTTCCATACAATCCATATTAACCATCTGTATCCTTTTTATTAAAACAAAGAACATCATCTTATGAGCCACAGAGTGTGATACAGTCTAAAATTATTTTTTCTTGGAGTGGTCAGTGTTCTTAAAATTGTATTTATTATGATGACATTTCATTGACAACCAGATTTGGAACTGGAGTAATGATGCTACAAAACTAGTCATTTGTAGTAGTAAGTGGATTGACAACTCAGTTATTCCAGCCCATTTGATCATAGTCCTCCAAATTACCAAACCAAATTTAAAGCTCTCAAACTACTAAAACTCCTTTTTAAATAAGACAGAATACTAGAGGAAAGGATAGGTACTCTTTAACTTAAAAAACGTTTAGTACTCAAATTTACAATGGTATGGACACAGTCTAAAAATTTCAAATGAGTTCCAACTAATGTAGCCAGTCTTTTGTTATTGTATCAGGAAATAATTGGACCGTCCAACTTGTATATCAAACATTTTTTCAGATTGTTCTTCCAACAAAAGCAATCAAAAACGAGAGGATCCTGGAGACGCTGATGTTCCAAGCCAACTCCGGGATGTACCGGATACAGGAAGGTTACCTTGAGGCGTGCCAGCAAAGACTGCAAAAACAGGATTCTAGGTTTAGTGAATGGGAATCGTTCGACTATGGTATTTAACACCAAGCTAAAGAGACGTTGACATAAACTGTCTGTCTCTTCTCTGCTTACTAAGTGTTCTTCTGGTCAAAGACTTTCTACTGTAATGTATGATTATTTTCCGTCAACATTGAGCAGTCAGTGTTAAGACCCTGTTGAGCTAAAACGTGTGATGTTCATGATTACGATGATTAACTGTTTAAAATCGTAATATTATGTGCTCGTAAGGGTTTTGAAAATTAATTTTTTTAAATTTTTGTAAGAAAATGTACTACGGTATAAAACAAAAAAACAGTATGTTTTTTTACTGTCTTAGTCAGATTTAATATCTGTGATTTAGTCATGTGTAGATGGCTTTATCTTGATTTCACTGGGATTTCAATTAAAATGCAACAAATAATTTTGAACTATTATTCTAAACACAAGAATCTACTACTTAACAACTTCTTTATAGTTTACTAAAGAAATCTCAAGTACATTTATCACACTGTCAATATACAACTATTTTTTTATGAGTAGGTATAACATAACATTTACAAACATTAATGCAAAAAAAATCATTTGTGGTTCTTACAATTTGACTGCTCAAAAATTTGACGTTTTTACGACACCCAAGCATGTCAAAGTAATTTATATCTAGAAAAGTGAAATCAGCTATCCTTGGTTAGTTGTAAATGTTATTTAATTAATATAATTTGATTGGCATAAGTTTGAAATGTATAACTCCAGAAACAAACAACATTAAACATCCAAAATTATAATACTAAATTGTAATTGGAATATTTGAATATTATATTCAGTACGGTACTATTGTCTCTAAAAAACACTTTTGACTTTTTGTATTGTTAGTAAAATTTTGTGGTAAGTTATGGACAATAGCACTTAATATTAATGGGATTGACTTATAATATGTCATTATTCTATAATGTTACTCCTTGAAATCGAAATAAGTAAAATAAGATTTTTTTAATACATTATATCTATTGTAAGTCAACCCTGTTACAATTATTTTATTCCAATTGATTCTAAAATATAACAAATAAACTGAGCTACAGTATTTGCTAAAAACTTTTACGTTTTGAAATTGAAAATGCCCTACTGTTATTAGACCCAGGCCCACTTTTATAAACGGGCAGACTGGGCATATGCCCAGGGGCGCCGGAGGTTTGGGGGCGCCCACCGGGTGCCCCTTAACCACCGCCCGCCCGCACTAGGAAAAAAGGGGGCGCTGCTTTTGTGTTTGACCAGAGCTCCACTGGCCCTTAACGCAGCCCTGATTAGACCTCAAAAATATAATTAAAACATTATATTAAAGCTAAAACGCTAAGATTAATGATCAAGTTATAGAGGTCTTTTGGACACTGATCTACTTTTAATTTCAAATTGCTTTTTCCAGAAAATAACAGGATGAACAAAAAATTAATTATTTTATAACTCAATGCAGTTAGTATTATAAATTAAAGATCGTCATTTATACCATAGACAAAAAGAATTAAATATTGACCGTCAGCTGTGCTGCGGTTACCATAGGTTCTGGCGCACACCGCTTGGAGCACCACGGTAGTTACGGCGTACGCACTACGTAAACTACAGCGGTGTGCGCCGGAACCTATGGTAACCATGGCAACCGAAGCACGGCTGACAGTCTATATTTCATTCTTTTTGTCTATGTTTATACTAACCAATAGCTGGTTTACTTTTCTCTCTTATTGGGCTCATATTTTACTTTGATTTAACTAAGCACTATGAGATACTTTACCTACTGTCTCACTTGTTATCTGTTGAACTGTTGAGGAATAATTTATCTACGTTTAAATAATTTGTTACATGTAATATCTAGATATTTTTAAAGCTTTATGGGATCAAAATAAAAAACATATTCTTAGGCTATTGTAAAGTTGTTCAAAGTATTGATGTTTTTGGTACGCCTTTTTTCAAGAGTATCTCTGTAAAAATATTTTTATAACTTCCAGCCAAGAGAGGTAGTTATTTTTGCCATGTTTGATGTGGACACCACTTCAGCTGTCAAAAACAGTTTCTTTGCATTGCTGAAAATGTTTGTGATATGGTCTGTACCAAACTTTTTATTATTATAATATAAGTATGGTTGCAAACATTCAATTTGGAGAATAATCAAAATTCTGAAAGGTAACTTCTTGATTAATGTTTGTCAGTCAACAAATGTTATTTATTTGAATGAGTGGGATGGTCATAGTGGAATTTTTTTATTATAAAAAAATATTATAAAATTGCATAAAAGAGTAAAAAAAATTAACAGGTGTTCAATGATTTTCATTTTACAGAGACGTGTTTGATGATGATACCTAATAGCTTGTGGCATGGTTTATTTCTTTTCATTCTAGAGAGGGTGCTAAAAGTTGTGACAGGTCCAAAATAATCTTCAAAATTCAGGTTTGGAAAACTGAAATTTTTATTGTAATTGGCAGCAAGTACTTTAGTTTGAATTCGGGCAAAGATATGCATAGTTACTAAATACAGTTTTTCCTCAATAATCCTTGAATTCATAATTTAGATATTTTTATTCTATGTTTGAAGTTTGATGGTGAGTTATTTAAAGGGAAGAGCTTATTGCACACATTTTCCCTCACGATTAAAGTTCACAAAATGTTCACAATGTTTAGGGGTTGTGTCTAGAAAATTTCTAAATTGATTAATTAGTAATCCTGCAGTTTTTTAGGCAGGTTGCATAAGCCTTTGTTTTGTGGTAATTGTTTAAAAAAGGAATTTTAATACAGTTTGAAGTACTTTTAAATATCACTAACCCCTCCCTTCCTGTTACGGCCCTACCTTAAAACCAAAAATTGTTTTAACCAAAACTATTTATTAATTTCCTAACAATCCCTACATACTAAACAGAATCAAAATGTATTTGTTCTTTTCTTAAATATTTTTAATAAAAACAAATTTGTTTATATAAATTATAATTATTTAACTTCAATTTGAGTGATAAAATTCAAAATTTTAAAAATTTTAATCCTCTTTTACCAGATAGCGTTTTATTACAAAAATATTTTTAATTTTAGCGAACTGCTTTTACACATATTTGACATGCTTAAATGTAAAAAAATAATAGGTTTGGTATAGATTATTATCTTGAAGTGTTTATACATACATGACATAATATTCTCCATTAGGCCAACTGGAGAAATGTGTATGTTCTAATGAACCTAACTGTTGTATGTTTATATAAAAAGTTTATTTCATGTGTTGTTAACCTTTTTTAGCTGAAACAGTTTACATTCCCCCTAAAAATATTTCAACGTTTTGCAAAAATGTATTTATTCACTACTATTAGTAAAAATGTATATTTGAATTTTATTTTGAAAATATAAACCGCATATTTACAATATCAACTTTGCTCAATATAGGGCCGTACTCCCAACCGGTTTTCCCAAACAATTTTACAATTTTACTGGGACCCACCAAACATATACTTCAAGGGGAAGGGGGCCCGGCCAAAATATCTTTACCGGACCTGCCAAAGCTGGGTACGGTCCTGGTTCAATAGATGTTAAAGAGATAAAGAGTAAAAAGTTAATATGGAACCACCCAGACACAATGTGATAAAAGGCAATATTTTCAATTAATAGTTTTAAAAATTATAGGCCAATTTTATTCAAATTACTTTAATTTTTACCATTTAATAAAATAAATTAGTAAAATTAGAACTAATGTTATCAAATTGAACCTTTTATTATCAGGGAAAAGTCTTATATTTTAAACCTTTACTATCAATAAAATACATTATTACTGCAAATAAAAATTAAGATTGGTAGTATAATGTATTTATTATTTTTTGCTGTTTCAAAAACAATAGTTGACAGAAAACCATTGAGGTACTAAAGTTTAATAAATATAATCAAATGATGTTAAACTTATAATGTAAACATTACCATAATTTTCAATTTTATTATATGTCAATTATTTCAAAAGAATCATACAATTGTTCATCTAAATTGTGAAATTCATATTTTGTCAACAAATTGTGTTGAAATTAAAAGCTGCAAGTTGTTTACCATAAAAAATGTAAACTGTTTCCAGCGAAATCGTTCCACACTGTACTGTTGAATGGTCTAAACAATATTTACTAATACGCTTATACACTGAAATCAATGGGTAACCGTGTTCTCCTAGAGTAAGCTATGTAAGCCAAAGTCTATGTTAACTGTGCCACAATCGGTTCTCTGCACCCCTATCCAACTACCCTACCCTCCCAGTACAAATTGTGGCAGTGTGTATTATTTGTTGTGTAAGTGATACATTGTACCTTTTAATTTATATCGTTGATATTTTTCTATGAGATTTTATAATATCGTTTGTGTTTGTTGGACTTAATAGATGTATTCGTATTTGTTTACTGTATTTGCAAATTATTTGTCCAGTGATTCGAATTATCGGGTGAAAATTGATGGCGAACTTGAGTTTGAACAAATATGTACAATTTATAATATTTTAAGACAGAATAGGTTAATGTGTATCTAATTGTTTCCGGTCAACGCAAACTATTGAATCAACTGGTGAGTCGAGTCGGTGGCTCAGTTGGTAGCGTCGCGGACTTCGGGCCCAAGGCAGTAGTGTCGTGGGTTCGGACCCTGGTCACTGCCACAAACTTTTATCAGTACAGTTCACCTTTGTACTGTACCAGCTCACCCCTTAAAGAAGCCGCCAACCTCTTAAATAAATAAAAAAAACTTGTACTTATCTATATATTAATTTGAAACTGTTTTTCTTTGTGACAGCTAATTTGAGAGAACGGCTGGGCGTAGAAACTTGGTAGGGGTCTCCAAAGAAAGGTCTTGGTCTGTAGATGAGCCATCAAAAGAGAAACGAGGTAAATCCCCTTGGGGCTCTGCCCAGAGACCTTTAAAGTCCCCTCAGCAGATTTGTTTACATTATGACAATATGTATAATTTTACACTAATTTTAATGAAACAGCTGTTAATATTTAAATTGTAATTTACTGAATTTGTCAAAATGAAGTATTTGCAATGGTTTTTTCTGTGAGTTTAAAATCGATTTTCTTCTGCATCGTGTCATGTTTTGCAATATAATATTCTATTGCCAAATCAGTGGAAAATCCTAATATCACAGTAACTCTTAAAATTATTTGTTATGGAGTTAACTTATTCGCAAACAATGGAAACATAAGAAAGTCATAGAACACAACCAAATAGAAGAAATAGAAATACAATCGTTATTATAGAGAACCTAATGCGGCTATTAGTAGGAAACATTTGTAGAAAACTCTAAAAAACAAGATCAGCTTTTGAAAAAAGATAAGATATTTACAAACAGTTTTGATTATATCTAACTGTTGTGTACATCGTGAGTATTTCCATAATCTTTGAGTCGGCTTTTATAAAGTCATCGAAAATTATGACAGTTATTCGTTTTAAAATAACGCCTGTAATACTTCGCAACTGCTCGAATTCAAGCAAAAGGTACACTAGTATATATTATGTCCTTAAAATTTGCTCAAGCTTTCCCAATGTTTGAAATTTTTAGAGGGTTCATTTGAAAGCAAAATATTAATTGGTCTCAGTAGTAAAAGAATTCAACACCATATTGTATACATCTGCCATTATTTCATTTAGGCCCTACTTTATATAAATTTCATTAGACATTGATTTCACTCTGTTTGGTCAAATTTTAGAGAGTTTGGAAAACTAATATTTAAAATTTGTTTCTATAATCAATTGGGGGAGCTGAAACCTGAGCTGACCCTCCACTCAGGGGGAGCTGTTTTCTGTATTTTTGTATTATACTTAAATGAATGCAAGATTCCCTTTTACCCCTTCACTCCCAGGGTGAAGAAGGGTAAAGCAATGTAGTTTAATGTCAACATTTGGGCAGACATTTGATTTTTATAAACATGATTATCATGGTAGGAAAACAATATTTAAATAGTGCATGATAGAATTTAAAAATATTATAAAACCAATTTCAAATTTGTCCATCAGGTTCCTACAACAGTAAGTAAAACTTTTACTGTGTACAATGACTCCATATTTATGTTTTGTTGCAATGAATTCCACAACAATTTTCAGAGGTCCTGTGGGCCTTATCTTATTGCAGAATCTAGTTTTAACCATCCAGTGCTATCAAAGTTTATAAATCAAAATATTGTTTGTAAACACTGATTAAAACTACAGTTTACTGATTAATCTGATTAGCTCTGATATTGCAAAAATTTGATGGGAGGCAAAACCTACCCTGACTCATTTTTTAGCTTTTCTATTGTTAACATTGGTAGGATAAAGCTTAAACGCAATTAATGAGGTTGGTACATTCCAAAATTTACTTGGAATTCAAAAATTAATTCATTCTCCTGACAATATTTTGCCAGCATATACTTGAAGAGTTTTCTGGGATATGAGGATTTACTAAAATGTGTTTAGCTAGCTGAGGAAATATGTACCTAATTCTATCTATCTCAGATTGGCAAGGGGGCTGTGTTTAAAATGTAATTACAGTCCATAAAGTAATACCTGGAGATTAAATTACAAAAATACCTTATGGGTCAAAATATTTCATTTTTGATATTTGATTATAACAAAATTACACTGTAAAAAGTTATTTTGTCTTACACCAAAAAGGTGTAAATAAACTAATCGTAACACTACAACTTATAATTTTTCAGAAAATGATAAGTATTCAGTAATTATTCATATCATAGAATCACTGGGCAAATTACAGCAATAATCGTTTAAGTTTTATAAAAGCTTTAATATAGTGATCGTTGTAAAACTTTACTTAAATCTATTTTTCCAGATTTAAAAAATGAGAAAAAATACTAAGTGTCTTATGTGTAAATAATGGATAAATTTAATTCAAACCAAACGTGTCTGTAAGTGTGGATGTTAAGGTGTTTTGTATGTATAAGGCACCAGACTCTTCGAATGACTTTTCTACGAATCTTAGACATAAGAATGAATTAGTTTAGAGATTGTATTTTGTACATACGTGGATATATGTGCTTCATGTCTGTGCAGTGGTATCTGTTCTACAGTGTGCAAACATGGAATAAAGTCAAAGTTTATTTAGATAATTTGTGATCCATATTTTCACTTCCCTTTTTTATTGAAGCTCTAGAGGCGATCAAGGATCTTCCCAGCTTCCACACTCCAGGAGCAGGGAGTTATAAAGTATGTTGACAAAGTTTTATAAAGAAAATATTAATTATTGATTCAAGTTAAATTGCCATTGAACAAAAAATTTGCATTAATTATGCCTGGGTTCGATTAGACATAAAAAGGTTTAATTTATTCTCTAGGTTCACAACTAAAAATATGAAAGAAGGAGACAACTCTGAAAACTCAAAATATTCCCACAGCTGAATACACCTGCAGACTGAGCAAATTTTTGTTTGGCCTGATTGGCTTTTCACTAAAATATTTCCTTAATTATGTAGGATGTATTCACTTTTTAACTAACGTTATGTTAAACGAGTATCAAGGGTTGCCTAAATTGGCAAGCAGCAGGGTAATAATGTATGTTTTTAGCTTGGTATGAAATAAATGAATTTTATCAAAATATTACAATAGACGAGCTTATGACAACAGTTTACTCACTATACATTAGAATTACATGGAACATTTACATTTACAGTTTTCTGTTATTTATTTCTCTCTAACCATTAAGCGTACACAACGCTGCAATATACTTGGTTTAGTGGGAATTTTTTGTCATCATCGTAGGAAACAAACTAGGCATTCCTAACCATGCTAAAGTTTTTGCCAGCTTTTTTTTTTCAAAATGGATCTAGTTGAAGTGAGCCACTGTCAGATTATGCTGATTTGCATTACTTATTTCTGTTGAATACATTAATTTTTTAAACAAGTACTGAAGAATTATATTTTGATTATAGTTTTGAAAATTTTTTTCAACCTTTTCTAGACGGTTATAATTATAAACACATGAGAATGTTCAGGGCCGGATTTCCCAATAGGCCCGGTAGGCCCGGGCCTATGGGCGCAAGGTCCCAGAGGGCGCACGGCCGAGAGTATTTTTTTTATACCTAGGCTATCTAAAAATAAAAAAAATAAATAGTCACAGTTGATAAAAAAACTCCAAAGCATTGTGATTCTGAAGTTCATAAGAAGAAATAATTGTTACGAAATCTAAACTATTTTTCAGAATTACGCATCAATTTCGTTTCAAAATTGGTAACGAACATTGGTTATACGGGAGTAGGCTGTAGGGATGTTGACGTTTACGAGCGCCCAAGGAGTACGCATCGTATTGCCACTGCACTGCCACTATGCTGGTTTGGGCTCGGCACTACTGATCAGAGTGATTAGGGGCGCATGCGTGCTAGACATTGTTACTACCCTCACCTCACAAAACAAAATTTATTAACTAATCTTTTGATTAGTTTACAACAATCTGCAGGATCAAGTTAATAAGTTGTGTTGAATATTAATACAACGATGAATTTACCATTAAAATTAACCAAAAAATATTAATCTCAGTTTGCATTAGAAAAATTCAATACCCTCCAAAGCACCAATAATGCTGTCATTTTCTCCTCAGACCTAAGTAAGGATCGACGGTTGGCCGGAATATTTCTCTGTTTTGCTTTGGAAATATATAACCTAGATGCAGTACGACCATAGATTAAATATAACTCAAGTCGACTTCTTATGACATTGTTAATTCAAAATTTTTTCATGTCTAGTTCATGTTGGTGACACTGGACATTAGTTTTGACGTAATTTTGTTTCCATTATTTTAGGGTTAGTTCTATGATGTGTGTTTCAATTTCTTGTAATATAACCAGGAGACGACATATTGTTGATGTAGATCGTTTTATTTTAGATAAACTAGGTTTAAACCACGATTACTAGAAAAATACAGATCAAACATACTAGGTACTATTAAATAACAAGAATTGTTCAGCTAATCCAAAATGATGACAAATCTACTAAAGGAGTATGTTTAATCTATGGTATCACGTACTGTTTGGAGATCATGTTTTTTTGGCCTGGAATTGGAATCAATGGCCATGTTTTTTTTTCAGGAATGCTCGGTGGGTTGAGTTGTTTTGTTTCAGTCCCACGGCCACAAACGTGAGCATTTATTAAAAGCATAAAATTGCTAAAAGTGTTTAAGACGGCATTTTGTTAAGGCTATAAACAAGTCAATTCTTAAAAAAAACTTGCAATGATTCCAACGAGTAGTGGTATTTAAGCAATAAACTTAGGTCAATGGGCATGATATAGTTTTTAATAAAGGTTTGAAGGAAAGTAACTGTGACCAGACTAGGGGGCGGAAAATTATTTGGGCCTAGGGGCGCAAAAATGCTAAATCCGGCCCTGAGAATGTTAGTTTAATTATATTGTTTATCTATAACTTTTCATACTTATGTTTCCATCGGTTATTGAAGTCCATCAAGTGTAGGTAGGGCACAATCCGCACAATAATTCTTATTCATCTCATCCCTCTATTCAATTTGTTGGCTTTCTCATTCTAAAGCGTCTTTCTTCCTTCCTCAATTTTGGTCTTTCCAGCTCTGTTTTTTCTCACCAGAGATGAACCCAAAACAAACAAAAAATCTGAAATGATTTAATATTATGCATAAAACGTCAATGCAAATTAAAAATAATAGTGTCATACTAAATTTAATAGCAAGATGAACAATAAACTATCAATAATCTATCATCTAAACTATTAAAACCGTGGTCACTAAGCCTCTCATTGACCTAAACTTAGCCTGTTCCAATAATTCGAGCAGTGTCAGTTGAAAAATCACCTTATTTATAGTCTGAAGGTTGTGTTTAAATTATTCAGTGATTATAGTTTTTATAGTAGACAAATTAATTTGACAGGACCAATAAAAACATCTAAATTTTGTCAAAAGTAAAATTATTTTAATAAATTCACACACAAATTAATTGTAAAGGCAAAATACTCCAAGCAGATGCAGAGCTATCTGGTGTCTATTCCTGGAGTTGTTTTGATTGATACACATTCACAGTACTGTACCACAATATTTTTAATAACTGTGATTCAATATTAAAAGGGGTTTTCTCCACAGATCCATAAATTTACGCTTAATTCTTAAATTGAATATGTTAAATACTTTATTTCCCTCCAGTCTAATACTAAGAAGGATGTTTTATGGGCGAACGCAACTTTATTTTCACTGTTTAATGTCAAGGTTCTCATACTGTTATGTGTTTTTTTACTGTACACATATGTATTGTTATTATTTCTATTATATTGTATGTATTGTTGTTATTCCTTGGGTATTCAACTGACAACTGCAAATTGTACCTTTGGTGCAACTAGTGGTTAAAAAACTTGCATCTTTACTATATTATACAGTACTAAAACTAATAACCCATTCATATTATTGTATTAGGTGGAAATAATTCCCTAAATGAGAAAGCTTTGCATATTAGTACTAGGCCTAGCACCCATCAGTAATAACATATGAAAAATCTACATTCATGCATGCATGCTGTGCTACGGTCGCCATCTGGAAAATGATACCTGATTAACACATTTTTTACCATTTCACTAACCCTTGGAAATACAGAAATATTGTTGAACCAAAAGTTAAAGGACACACAAAAATACATCTTTTATTTCCCAAAACTTGTTTTCCTATCTCTAGTTTAAATTAATATTAACTAAATCTATTTTTTTCTATTTCTGGCATTATATACAAATTGTTTTATATTTCATATGTATAATCAAATGCACACTCGTTTTTTTTTACGCTGGATAGCGGGCGGGGGTCTTGTAGACCCCCCCAATAAAAATGGGTATCAAATCAAATCAAATCAAAATATACTTTATTTCCAAAAATATTGAACAGAATAAAATATAAACATAAACTTCCAGTGAAACAGACACCTTACTTGCTATTGCATAGATAAAATAATTAAATATAAAAATACATGTAAACTTAATAATAATAAGAAAGGATGGAAGGTTTCAGAGAAGCTATGTTAAATTTAGACATTTAGGAAATAAGCCTACATGGACTGGAAGCCTGTGCGTAGGCTCAGCCGCTATCAGTGACTGACGTATTTGTTGGAAAACAATAATATTCAAAAATATTCAGAAAATATTCACCACACTTTGCTTTCTGTCGGATAAATAGCTTTGAAACCACTGATGAGCGGTGCCACGAATGCCAATGTTTTCTAGTTTAACCAAAAGCTTTGCTCGATCAACATAATCAAATGCCTTTTTAAGACTAGGAATACTAGCATAGTCCATCTATTGTAAGAGATATTATCATTTATGTTTTACTGACTTTGAATAAAAAAGGTTTTTGATATTTAGCTCTTTAAACTTTAGGCGTAATATCTATATTAATTTTCTCATATTGTTACGTAAATTAATGATCCTACCATAATATTCCATTCAATTACATGATGTCTTTTGGCTCAAACATGTTTTTAAAACCTGTAAATACTTTGTATTAATATTTACGAAGGTTTTTACAAATTAATTTAGTGTACAGTTTGTATCAAATTGTGAGAAAATAAATATTCCCATACTACTGGGGGTTTTTAAACGTTTCGCAAGCAATGGCGCTACTGACTGTCCCCAGCTATTGACTGTTTGCTACGTATTGAACTACCGCACGTCATCAAAGACAGTTGATTGAGTCGTATCTAAGAAGTAATTAATGAAACCCTTCAAGCTTATCGCAATCCAACCGTCATAAAAACTTCCAACAATCCGCGACCTTGTCACGGTCTTATCTTCTATCACTGTTCTACGGTTCTACTAAACTTGCGCATAGGGAATTGAATCTTGAATCAACTGTTTCTTAAAAGTTTTGTGGGTAGGTCCCCAATCAATTCGTTACATTTGTTATTAGAACAATGTTTGGAACAACCAGTGTGACAGCGTCAAAATATGCTCAGTAGAAAGGATTAATTTAACTTTTTAGATTGCTGTGTTGCTCTGTATCTAAATCACAGAGGCGTGTACTTTAAATATGTAGTACGGCGAGAATACCATTAAAATTGATTTTGATTGATGTGTTATGCATTCTAGAATAGTGACGGATGTCTGTGTATTGAAGTAATTAAGTTTCAACCAGGTAAAACACTACTATTAACTTTTGTACTACTATTTTTTGCATTTGTCAGGTTATTTACGTTCCAATAGACGACGGTGTGGTCAAAATTGTTACCTAGAATGGAAAAATGATGCCCTTTGTTAAAAAAACTATTTTTACCATAACCACAGAAAGTTTGACTAAAGACTTATGATACAATAAGCAGCCACATTATAGTCAGCTTTCAGTGTTCTGAAATTGATTTGTGAATGGCAAGAACCGCCAAATAAATAAATCACATCCCTTCGTATCTAATAATAATATGCCACTCACATTCATTGCAAAACATACTTTAAAAAATATTATGATTAAATCAAACAGTGCAACCTTTATTTTGCTGGCGTATATATCGTTAATGACAGTACATAGTAAATCGATTACGATAGCAACAGAACGAACAAGTTGATGGCATTATTTATTAATAAAGGTCAGCCATGCCAATCTTGTCGCATGAATGTCAAAACTAATTTGTTAGAAGATGTACGCGTATTTATACAAAAAAGATTTTCAAGGGCATATACCTACATCTGTGATTTGTTAAGCATGAATATAGCTTAAAACGGCGTTGTGTACACGTAAACGTGGAAGGCTCTGCCTCGTGAGTGTCTGCAAGAATATGTTATTTTATTTTTGGTACCGATTCTAGAACACGCTGACACGCTGTTGTAGGCTACACTACAACCGACACCATAAACAACGGATGAAATTAATCTACTGTTAAAAAACTTATTATATTGTTAATAAGTTAGTTTGCATCCATTATTTCAATATTACACAACTTGATTTTATTATGCAACACTCATTGCGGAGAGGTCAATTGTTAAGCCCTGCTTCATTAGTGATATGATATATTGAATATTCAGCTATATTGATAAAAATATGTAGAATTTGTTACGATAGTTGAATTTATGATTTGTAAAACACTAAGAAATTTCATTCCTCTGATTACTTAGAATTATTTTTAATGTAATGATCCTTTATTTACTTGCAGTTTTATTTCAATTGAAGGTCACATATACATATTGTATAAATGAAATGTATTCTTAATAACAGAATAAATAATAGTGAAAGTTGACAAGCAACAACGTTTGCTTCTATGAAATAGCAAGCCTATATCTATGAATCTTCAGTCTCGGTCACTCAGCATTCAATTCAACAATTCAGCAGAGGAGAGAACTGTAAGTAGTAAGTTATTGCTTATCTTGTATGGTAGGTACTGTATAAAATAAGTACCAAAAGTCACTTTTTGCCCGTGTGGTGAACTATATTTTTCGTCCAAATATTCATTTAGAGTAACCTCTCAAAAATACTTCTAACTTGTTTTCATTTTAATTTGCTACCATAATTACCATACTTGGTAATGGAAACAAGCAGCTGTTTGGTAAGTGATTCAATCGTTTCGTCTATTACGATTGTGTTACAGTATAATGTAATTTATTATACAATCGATATGTCGAGCAATCGACAACAATAGGCTAAAACCTTGCCTAATAAATCAATCGATAAATAATTTCGATCGATAAGATTGCCACAATCGAAATTTACTACACTGTTTACAACAGCTGATTTTCTAGAGACTAAAAATGAATTTTGCTCCCTAGAGAGTAAAAATACGACTTAAGCCCCGCAACGAATGCTTAAAAAAACGGCTGTTTTTGCTGCAGTAGGCTATGACGAAAAGTAAATTTACTCCCTTGACATACTTAAAAAGTATTCTAAACGAAGGAAAAATGCGATTGTAACAGTTTCAAAAATTCATCCGCGGGAAATGTCAAGATAAATGATCATCGTGTTTTAATTTGTTGTACCTACCACGAATACGTGAACAGACACGGTATGGACCATATAAACATAAACAAATAATGTTACTGGTCCGAAAATAAACATTGCTTAAATGGAACTGTCTAAACCATATGTTAAAACCTTTTTGGGCCAGTAACATAATTTTGTTGTGTTTATGATCCATATAACTTACCGGCTCTGTTTTAGTATTCGTGGTACCTCCATAAAATATGTTACTTGACTGAGAATTGATTAGGCATTTTATGTAAAACTTCATCACTGACTGGCAACAGTTTTTTTCCACTAAGGAAGGAAGAATAAAATAACGTCTGCAAGGAAGGCTGTGCAAGTAAGTTCAGTTTGGTGGGGTAATGACATAATTACACCACTTGAAAGATGATTACACCTAACAGCTGTTCAACCTGACTTGGTCGCCATCCCATTTCATTTCCCACCCACTCAAAGAATCATGCTTTGGGCACTCACCCGGCACGTGATTGCAAGGTGTACGAGTACCGTTGGGGGAATCAAAAGTAGACCCAGGGGAAATCAATTCTTAATAAAACTATAATATTCAAAATGATGAAGTGGCCAAGGAGAAAAAACAAATTATGAATCCTACAACTGTCAAGATTTATAACAATCAAATTAAAATGTAGCCTAGCAAAAACTAGAATGAAAACTATCGTTTTACGTCAGCAGCTAACGTGAATTCTTATTATTATCCTTCTACTTCTAGAAAGGTCTGTATTATGTTGGTACGACTGTACTGAGGTCGTCTGCGCTTGCGCATACGTACGATCACCTTGGCATTGGTCAGGGAGAGGAAGTGTTTTTGTGGAACCGGCTTGTGCTGTGCTTGTCTGCTTGTGTTCATTGTTCCAGCTGATCTGCGGTCGCTATCAGTGTCAGTTCGAGTTCAGACTTCAGTCTCAGTAGTTCAGACAACACAACATCAGTGATCAGATTGGTGACTTAAAAGAATAATTTTAGCACAGATTCTGAGAAGTTGTACTCATTTATTATTTGGGTTATCTACTGCTAGATAGAACGTGGTAAATGGACATTGACCTGTAACGTCTTATCAGTGAAGTTCTATCGTCCGACGTGCGACGTGCGTTTCATTTCATTTGTGACCGGTGTTTAAGGCTAGATAATACTCCCCCTTTGATGGGAGACCGGTTCCTAGCAATAAACATTAGCAATATTAACTTATGAGTTCAAAGAGTGTACTTTAATTTTGAATTGTTACTCCATCAATGAAGATGAGTATTAGTTCGGAGGGCTGTGGTAGCATTATAGTTGTGTCAAATCGGTTGCCGTTTGTTCTCAAACGGAATGACAAAGGACAACTGGAAAGACATGCAAGGTAATTAATTATACATTTTTACTCTACAAAATAGACTGTAAGATTAGTTAGGTACTTGTCTCTAATCGATAGGTTATTCTATAGATATATCACTTTGAGTCCAGAATGTCAAAACTTAACTAAGTATTTTGGCTGTATGTAGGTATAATGTTTTTGCACTAGGCCCTATGATGTACCCCCTTGTATCTTTGGAAAATACTTAATATCCTCCCAAACCTAGGGCAAACATTGGCCAAAATATTACGCTAAGACTGTGTGAGCTAGGCCTAAGTTAGCTTTAATAGGGAGTGCCGAACAGATTTACTGGTCATTGTTTCTCTATCAAACTTTAGACGAGGTCCACCACATCATTTACATGTTCTGTAATTACTAGAATGTAATTTATTTTTCTGTTAAAAAATGTTTAATTTAAAAAAATTTCACTACTAAACGTAGGGTAGATAAGTTAGGCCTAAGTTAGCCGCGTATGGTGCAGTCCATTACAAACATCACATTAAGGTTTAATCAGGCCTAACTTAACTTACTTCTAGAAGCACTAACTTAAGTTAACTTTAGTGATTTAAGCCTACCCTAACTTAACTTAAGTGTTTATTCAAATGTCAACGGTGTTGTACATAATAGCCTACTGTTCTGTAAGAAATCTTGAAAGAATTAATTCCTCATAACAGCTCATGAAATGCAGTCAAACATTTTGGCTTAACGAATACAACAATCGAGAGAATCATTTTGACGATATAAACCTCTTGCTAAATAATCAAAGCAATCGATAAGCGGAACATCTTGAGGAGGAACATTTTGATTGTTTACACATCTCGCAATCATGTTAGTAACCAACACACCCAATATCAATATCAACGGATTTGAAAGATATAGGTTGGCAGTAAATCTAATGAGGTGGATCTCTTGTGTGCTATTATTAAAATGCAGTGTCTAAATTAATTAGGCATCCATTTAATGTTAAATAAGTGCTTGCTTGATGACCCAAGGTTAGGACAGTGTTCTGCAGTGGTGAATTAACTTAAGTAAATTTCTGTTAGCCTACTGTTGAAAGACGACAAAGTGTTTAACACGTTCGCTACTGAGCGTCGCATATATGCGACACCGCGGTCATTGCCACAGACCGAGGTACCTACATTTGAATCTTACACAAAATAAGCACTAACTTACTTTGTGCGGTGTTGTCACTTGGATAACAGTATACACAGACCACGGGCGAAAACCTGTAAAACAGTGATCATTTACATTGTAATACGTTACAATCGTGTTTGTAAATAATGTATTCTTGTTTTTTTGTATTATTAATAAACTTATATAATGTCGCATATTTGCGACGCCCGGTCTACAGCGAAGACAATAGTGAATATTATCATAGTTTTCTTGAAATAGACCAAACGTCGCATATATGCGACGGTTCATTTTTTGTGTTTTGAGGTGAAAGTTTAAGTAAAATAAAAAACAGATTGATCAAGAACAGTTTATAACTGAACAAATATAAAAGCTACCGGTACATAGGATAATGCAGCATACATACTGCATACATACATACAGTGATGCAGAAAAGTAAAGACCAGTTTTTCCAACTATCATATGACGTCACCAATCATCATATCCACAGACCAAGCGACGCAGTTGTGCGTCAGACATCTCTGTAGACCACTGCAGGGAATTCAGTGCCTTCAAATAGACCGTTACAAAGATATAAGCATTTTAATAACATTAGAACCCCGACGCAAATATGCGAGGGCAGTCTATTTTAATGTGACTAGCCGACGCATATATGCGACGGCAATCTATGGATGGAACCCGGCCGACGCATATGTGCGTCGCTGGTCCACGCGAATGAAAAAATTTGTATTATTGCAGTAGCGAACGTGTTAAAGACTTCATTCACATAATTGTGTTCTTTGAAAAAAAGCAAGCAGAATGATATTTTTTGTCATACTCCAGCAAAAACAGCCATTTTAATGCTTGCGTTGGGGGTCTAAAGTAGCATTTTTTCTCTCTCTAGGGAGTAAAAATCGTTCTTAGTCCCTTGGGAGTAAATAAACCAGCTGCTGTCACTCAGTTGTAAATTTCGATTGTAAACAAAATTGCATATATTGGAAGTATTTTTTGATTGTTTAATCAATTGTAGTTAATAGTCGCCTTATTGTAAATAGTTGGACATAATAAAATGTACACGAGTTAACACAATTGTAATTGGCAAAATGATTGAATCACTTGTTAAACAACTGCTTGTTTCCATTAGCAAACTAAATTCAAAACAAGTTAGGAGTAGTTTTTGGGAGGTTATCTTTAAATGAAAATAGGTGTACGGTATATCTGTATTGTAAAGCTGGCTTCAAAAAATCCAATCTTGAAGAGTTGTTAAATTATTGGTTCTCAAGCCATCTTTAATCATTGGGTTTTTATGGTCCTGTCTAAAGAACCACCAGATTTCATCTCTAATTGTGCCTAAATACAAGGAATTAAGTTATTATCGATCATTTTATTGATTCAACACTCATATTCACCCTTAAGTTGCTTCCTCTGGTTATATTTTGTAGTGTCCTGAGTCAACGGTTTGGATTTACATTTTTATTTGTTACAATACTTATCTGTGACCCCTAAAGGAGCTTATCAACACGGGTCAGTGTGTTAAGAAACAAACAACTTTTGTATCTTCGACCCAGTTTCAGACATGGTATGTTATTTTCTTACTTAAGTGTTTTCACCACACTAGACCTACGTTGTTTTTAGCCGTTTTACAATCACATCAATTGGAGGTGGAAAGCTACATATTGCGGTCCAGGGCTGAAATGCCAATCCTTAAAAATATCACATTTATTCCCAATTTAAATAGCATTTGATTTAACAAGTGCTTAGGTTTGCTGCAACAGAGAGTAAAAAAGTGTTTTTTGTTGTAAAATGTTTAGGCCTACTGTAGTTTAGTAAGAATTGAACGGAATGTATTTTCCAAATTTGATCAAAAAATGTTGTGACTTATTCTCAGCCCCCGTTCCCATAGTCCGATCATGCTGGTTCGCGAACTCGTTAGAATAAATGTAGGTTTGCACGTTTGTAGCCTACCAAATTTCATCAAAATCGGTGCGCGAATTATCGTGCTAATGGACACATGTATATGTATATAAATATCCTTTATTATACAGGGTGGCTGAAAAGTAACTTGCACCCCCCCCCCCCCTTAGCTTTTCAACCATTTGAGATATTTGAAATCTGTTTGCGGCAACCTTCTTAGATATGAGGGGCTACAATAATTATGGTCAATTTTGAAAATTTTGCCCTTAGGGGTAGCTCAAAATTTTCAAATGACAAGTATAGTCGAGTTTGGTATCATTTTACAGGTCTTGACGAAACATAAACATTGACATAAAGAAAACCAAAATCAGCTCACTAATAACAAAATGGCGCCCTAAAACGTTTCAAATCCAAATAACCATGACGGTGGCAAAAAAATTAACTTGCACCCTCTTTAACCTTTTGACTATTTGAGATATTTGAAATTGGTTTGCGGCAACTTGTTTGGATATAAAGGGCTACAATAATTATGGTAAGTTTTGAAAATTTTGCCCTTCAGGGTAGCGGGGGTAGGGGGGTAGCTCAAAATATTCAAATAGCAAGTATAGTCGAGTATGGTATCATTTTGTAGGTCTTGACGAAACATAACAATTAACATAAAGAAAATAGAAATCAGAGCATTAATAACAAAATGGCAGCTAAAAATGATTGAGACAATGGTTATTTAGAGTAATTTTGAAAATCATTTTTAGCTGCCATTTTGTTTAATGCTCCGATTTCTATTTCCTTTATGTTAATTGTTATGTTTCGTCAAGACCTACAAAATAATACCAAACTCGACTATACTTGCTATTTGAAAATTTTGAGCTACCCCCCTACCCCCGCTACCCCCAAGGGCAAAATGTTCAAAATTGACCATAATTATTGTAACCATTCATATCCAAACAAGTTGCCGCAAACCGATTTCAAATATCTAAAATAGTTAAAAAGTTAAAGAGGGTGCAAGTTAATTTTTTTGCCACCCTCATGGTTATTTGGATTTGAAACGTTTTAGGGTGGCATTTTGTTATAAGTGAGCCGATTTTGGTTTTCTTTATATCAATGTTTATGTTTCGTCAAGACCCCCTGTAAAATGATACCAAACTCGACTATACTTGTTATTTGAAAATTTTGAGCTACCCCCTACCCTCGCTACCCCTAAGGGCAAAATTTTCAAAATTGACCATAATTATTGTAGCCCCTCATATCTAAGAAGGTTGCCACAAACCGATTTCAAAAATCTCAAATGGTTGAAAAGTTAAAGGGGGGTGTAAGTTACTTTTCAGCCACCCTGTATATATGAATTTAAATGGATGGTGTTTTTGGCCTCTAGGGACCTCAAAACGAAAAAGAAAATCAGTCCCGGGTCCAGGTCCAACCATGAGTAGGCCCTACTACGGTAATAGCTTATTCCCTATAAATATGGGAAATTCGCTAAAAACAAGATAATCATTTCAAAAATGTTAATATTTACAATAAATGTTGATTTTATCGAACTATGTGCATCGTGAGTACTTTCATTATCTTTGAGTTGACTCTTGTTTTAAAGTCATTGGGAATAATGACTGTTACCGGTAATTGTTTTAAAATAACGCCTGTCATACTTCATAATTGATTGAATTCGAGCAAGAGCTACACTGATGTGTTATTTAAATGGGCTTTTAAATTAGCCTATACCTATATCTTGTTTATGGAAATATTATAGTAAAAATCCAATCAAACAAATTGAAATTTGCTTAGTCTGCATGTTTGGTGTGACAGTAGTATTTTTCTGTTGGAAGGAGCTGACTTAAATCTGAGTTTCATAAATTTAACGCTAATACAGTAGAGTCCCACAAACTCGATGTAATGTGGACTGGAAGGGTGCCGAGTTTGTGAAATTCCGGGTTATTGGAAACTAGGGTTAAAAATAAGAACAGTACAATTTTTAAGCTTATTAACTG